AATTAATGATATACATTAATTACCATTGATTAATAATTAATATTTAATTATTAATCCAGGAATCTGGCCTTTTATGGAAAAGTTGGCCGACTCCTGCTGTAAGGAGAGAACAACTAATAATTGACAATTTTATGTTCATGTGCTGCCTTTTGTTTCTAAGCAAGACTATCCGAAATCCTTTCCAAGGATTATTGGCAAGGTTTTTGTGACTTCTTAACTAGTTCAAGTATTTGTGGGAAAAATATGATTAGTAATTTATATGTGTTGTATAAAACACATTCTATATTTGTTCTTTTCTTTTCTGATTTCTATATGTAATGTTGAAAGCTCTCATCATTATTACTTAAGCTGTCTCTCTGATACAGAGAAACTGTCATCACCATATAATGCTTTCAGAGTTTTAGGGACAGTTATAGCTTTGGTATTCATTTGTCTCTGGGAAGAAGAATCATTTGCATTAGAATAACATCTAGACATTTACAACTAACAAATATTGATATATTTCTGTGAAATTATAAAAGGAACTGAGAGATTCCATGGAGTCTCAATCATATTTTGAGAAAAGAAAAAAACAATTCTTTTTGCCCAGCAATATTGCCTTATTGAAACGCTTTAGTGGCTGCTTGATTCTTTTGTTCTTAATAGAATTTTTAAGTTGGGTTCAGGAATCACAAAATTGGAGTTTCCTAAAAAGAAAACTGTGTAATGAATTTTAGCTTTTGAAAGTAGTTTTATTAAAAACTTTTCAAATCAAGAGTTTGATTCAGCATTATCTGTGCAACTACGTCTTCCTGTGTTTGGAAATTTACTTATTGACTATAGACAGTAAGACAGAACCCCTTATGTTCCTTTCCTACACTGGTGTGACCCTTGGAGGTCAGTGGATACTTCATCAATTCTCAAATAGAGTACAAATATCTATGACCTAAAATTTTCTTGTGATAATCTTTGTGGCCTGGTCCTTTTTGTGAAGACAGTTCACTGCAGAGATGGAGTATTGGGTTCTTTACTTAAAAAAAAAAAAAAAAAACAAAAAAACAAAAAAAAATAAAAGGCTTTCATATGTCCGTATTATTGATGCATACTTCTAGCATTTTTTAGCATTTCCCAGGTCCCATTCTGATGGCTAATAGAGATCAGCTGATATTTCTAGCCTCCTTTCATGATCCTCTCTGATGTCTTCATCTCCTTTAGGGACACTGAACTGTCTGTAGTCCATGCCCTAAAATTGCTGTTTTCTCCTCTCTACGTGGAGAGCCTTTGTTTCACTCTTATGCTTTGCCCAGAGAACTTCCCACTGTGTGAAGCTCAGCTCTGTGTGATCTTAGGAAGTCTTCTCTTCCCAGGGGGCTCCCCGCTCTGTTCCCCAATAGTTCCGTGCAGCTTGTCAGCACTTCACATACCACGTCATGTTGTGCTGATGTGTTTACATCTCTTGGAAACACTCTCACCCATGATGAACCCAGCTGCCCACCTTCTCCCTTCTTTGCTGGAGAAAATCCCACAGCAAGGCAGGGAAGTGTCTTCATAAACTCCTGCTCACCTGTCTCCAAGGGCCTTCAGCCCTGCCCAGGAATGTTCCTATTTCTCTAGGAAGTGCTCCACCCTCTGTCTGTAATGATTCTTTGATTCATTCTCCTCTCTATTCACACCTCTTCCCATGCCCAGACTTTCTGTAAGTGACCTTGTCTTTCGCTTCCTGGAAAAAATAACCATCTGGTAGCAACTCCCTCAGTTTTTTTTCACAAAGTCTGAAAATCCATTGGTATTGGCACTTATTTTCTCCTTCCCTTCCTATTACAAGGAGGGAAGGAGCCTTGCTACTGTGGCAGGCTAACCCTCCATAGGTGGCCAACATCCCATCTCTTTCCACATTAGAGACTTGGAGCCATCTTTTCTGCGTCCCTCACGTGGGCATGTAGATGTGCCAATGTTCCATCTTAAAAAAAAAAAAAAAAGAAACATGCCTTCACTTTACTGCAGTCATCCTCTCTGTGTGCTGCCCTTTGTGGTCATCCTTCTGAAGAAGGCTTGTGTCCCCAAATATTCTCACCTTTCATTCATAGATTGACTCCAGCCCGGCTCTTTCCTTCACCTTTCTGTGGATGTTGCGCAGGTCTCATTCCTCCTTTAACGTCTCTGCAGTGCACGTAGCCAACCCCTTTCTTCCTTCAGCCAGCACCCTGGGAGCTTCTCCCCTGTCCCACTGCCATCTTTTCCTCCTGATCTTCCATTTTCTGATGTAGGTGCTTGGTCTGGGACATTTTCTTTCTTTTACCACATTCTACCTATCTGCTTTCATGACTTCAAACCCCATCTGCTTACTGGTGACTGTGACATTTCTCGCTCTGATCTAGATTTCTAGGCTGTGTACCTAGTGTTTCTGGCAACCTGTTTTACTAAGATCTTGGGTCTCTCAGCAACTCAGATTTAACTTGAGCCCTTAGTGCACGATGCTAGCTGCTTTTCCTTCAGAATTTCTTGTTTCAACAAATAGTATTCTTATCTATCCACTTGTTCATGCCAGAAATCTGGAAGTGATTCTGGAAATCTCTGTCCTTTTCTCCATTTGTTCCATCACCCATGACTTTGATTCCATCTGCCAGCATCTCTCAAATCTGTCTACTTCTCTTTGTTTCTGTTGTCACTGCCTTTGTCTGAGACACGATCCATATCTTCATGTACCACTCTAGAAACCTCATGATGAGCCTTTCTTCTTCCAGTTTTCTTACCTCTGATCTTTTTAAAAGATCTAATTATCATCGTGTCCATTCATTGCTTAAAAACCCTTTAATGGCTTTCCTTGTACCCCAAATAAAATGCTAACCCTTTCCCAGGGCCCACAAGGCCCAGTGTGCTCTGGTCCCCTGTTGTCACTTAGCTCTGCATTCACTTCATTGTTCCTCATGCTGCAGCCATCCTGGCCTTTTGACGTTTCCTGTAATGTTTAAACTCCTTTTCACCTTCATCCTATCCTCTCCTGGAAACAGTTTCCCTTGCTCTTTGCACCATGGATTCCTTCTCATTTTTCAGGTCTTAGCTTAAATGTCACAACTTTGGTGAAGTTCTCCCTGAGCACATTTCTCTTCATGCCTCTTCTCAATTCCTCACCACACCCCTTCTTTTCCCCATGGGAAGGAATTACTAGAATTTGCAATTATACGTTTTTTTCCTTAGGTGTCTGTGTATCCAGCATACGTTTTTCCCACTAAACAGTAATTTCCACCAGGGCAGGGGTCTGTGTCTGTTTTGCTTGTGTTTGTCCCCATGACCTGATATTGGATGCTCGGCAAGTACTTGTTTTGTGAAATATGCAGTTTACTTAGATGGCTACTTGGAGTGGGGAAGTCGTCTGTTTGTTACTTTTATTGCAGGAGTGCATGGTGGTTAAGCTTGGGCTCAGACTTACATGATTTTGATTCTGTTTCTGCCTTCTGTGAACTTGAGCAGTTATTGGCCTCTGTGGTCCCACCATGTAAGGCCAGGCTGACTTCTTTTTGGAGTGTTCCATCCTCCACGGAAAGTTTATTACGGTGGCTTTGTTCAGGAACATGAACGGGCCAGATCCAGATGTGGAAGCTTAGGAAGTGACACAGGTACTCATATAAAATGTGCCTTAAGTTAATTTGTGAGACATGTATAAACTGGGTCACCTTGAATACATATGGCAGAACTTCTTGTATCTGCTTTCCCAAGGGGAACTTTGGGCATTCTATATTATTTGGGTGGTGAGGATTCATGTCCTGGGGGGGCTTTGTCCCTGCTCTGTTCTTTAGTATGTAGGACTTTCTGGTTTGCCATTATTGTAGGTCATATGGTCTATAATGTAGAGAGGATAAAATGAATATATTTTGAAGATGATCCCTTTCCCCTGGCCAGTTGCTACTCTTAATTCATTCTTTTACAGCTTCAGCTCTTTGCGGCTTCACCTCTTTCACATCCAAGTAACATATTATCCAGGTGGGAGCGAGTGAGTGTAACCCAAGGTCGAGCCTGGGGTGGAAAGTTCAAACTCTGGGCATCTTGAATGTGGGCACAGTCACGTAGGTTGAGTGTTCCCTACCTTACAGTATGAACTGTCTCTTTGGGAGAAACCTCACATAGTGAAACGCTGCTAAGGAGGCTTTGGTTAAATTAAGAATCGTTTCCTATTCCAAGTCACTTATTATTTATGTAATTTTAAGCTTAGATATTTTGGGGGGGCACCTTTATAGAAAGAGAGATGGCACATTCTTGAATAATGTTTTGTGATTTTCTTTTCTATTTTGGATATGTCTATTCTCCTGGAAATAGTGGGTGAGAAGCCACTACTTGCCAACATATTGTTATTAAGTATGTTCTCCTTAGGTCACTATTCCCTTTTATTTGCATTTTTAGCATTTCGTAGCTTCACATGAAAAGCCCCAAACCAGTCAATGTGAGAAATGAACGTGGCTGTGCTTGGAGTTTGTGTGGCTCCTCTCCATGTCCGCCTGCCCTCGCGTAACGTCTGCCAGTGCGCCCAAGTGTTTGCTGTGACTTTTCTGTGATCCTTAGTGCTTGTACTCTGCTAATATGCCTTAAATCCTTATGAGGAATTCTCAGTAATGAAGGGTAGACTGGTCACATTTGAACAAGTAGCCACAATCCTAGCCCTTTACATAATGTAGTCTGATTACCAATAAAGGAATGTAATTGAATTTTAAATTTCTGAGGAGGGGGAGGAAGAAACAATCCCAAACAGAAGTGTTCTGTTAATGAATGTGATAGACCCCTTTGTTGAGTGAGGGGGCTGCGTTGCACATTTCCCTGGCCATCTGCCCTACCTCCTCTTCCCTGAAAATATTTATGGAGTTCTAGTGCTTTAATAAGTTGAGAAGGGATTGGCAGGGTGAGATAAAGCAGTTAAATATGCTGTTCATTTTATTTCTGGGTGGAGTGGAAGAGGGAAATGAAATACTAATTTTTTCCTTTTTGGAAACCTAACACTGTGCTCTTTTGTTATCACTCTTGTTCTCTAGGCATTAAGTGTAACTGAAACCCTGATTAAACCCTTGGAAAAATTCAGAAAAGAGCAACTTGGAGCTGTAAAGGTTTGTGTCTAATTTGAGTATTCTTGTAAACAGAAAACGCGGATGCCTCTGTTGCTTCATTGTACATTAGATTCACATTTGGCAGCTTTGAAGGAGATGCTGGAGCAAACCATCTGTTGTTTTGTGTTTTAAATATGCTTTTCCCCCTTTAGGGGATATGGGATTGAAAACAAAACAAAAACACCTGGACAGGGTAGTAAAACCTCCAGTAATCTTCTTTGGCTACACCTTTCCATTTAGAGTTTTAAAAATATCTTTAACCAAACAACACATTTACTCTGAATAGAAGCATCTTATCCCTGTAGGCAGTGCAGTTATTTCCATGCACACCTCAGTTTTATGGAGGAGTGTAGCATTATGATAGTGTTTAAGATTAGAAGTGCTGCTACACGGCATGATGCCACTGAAACTAGAGAGAGAATATTACGTTACTGGGATGTAATTTCCTTCCATTTAACAAAAAAACGTATTGAGCTTCTAATATGTTGCCAGTATTGTTATAGTATTGTGTATGGTGTAGTATTATGCTGATTATTCCAGGATGAGTGAATCGTGGGTTCTGCACTCAGGGATCTGGGATTTAGCCATGATTTCCAGGAATAATGCAGTGCTTTTGCCACAGGGAGCCCGGGATATATTTAGCAACTTCTAAAGTTTGCGATCCAAGCTTCGAAATTATCCCAGAGAAACAATTTCCACCAATCTTGCCTGAATTTTGAGTATGTACTTGAGGGAGATAAAGTAACATTTGCATGTTGTTGACCATTTTTGGCCTGGCCCAAGGAGAAGAGAATATAAACATCAATTTTGAGTAGGGAGGGGAGTTTTTATATTTGTATCTTTTTTTTTTTCCCTCCTCCACATGGCTGGAGTTGTGAAATTTTTTCTTTATCTTCCTAAAAGAAACTATTCAAATCTCTTGGTACAAATAAACATTACAGCCTCAATGGCTGTAACTACACAGATTAACTCAAAGAGTTCTAGCTCTTTGGTTGCTATTTACAGAATTACTTCTCCTTTAAGTGATTTGTTAGATTATTAAGGGTTGTTTTTTTTTTTTTGGCATAATATTATACTTTAAAGTTTTTTTTTTTTTTTTTTTTTTTTTTTT